TGTGGGCCTGGGTCCCTGATTTTGTTGGGGAGACTTTCACCTTGGGCTTCACTGGGGGGGAAAGAGATGGAGAGAATGAGCTGGGAGAAAGAATGATTCCTCCATCAGGGAAAGTTTTCTCCCCCCAACCCCTGCCTGCCTCAGTTTCTCTCACCCCTGAGCCTTGAGTTCATTTAAATCTTTACTTTGGTGCCACTATAAAACCACTGTTTTCTCACATGCAGCACTCATGTTTTTTGGGTTTTTTTCCCCAAGAACAGGTAACTGGGCTTTGCGATGTGAATCTCAACTGAGGAATACGGTAAAAGCAATTTCCGAGCAAATGTGTAAATCAATCTGCAGGGACTTTCAAGAAGCAGAGCAAGTGGGAGCCTCCCTGCTGCTACGTGGTTTCTTATGGTAAGGAAATGTGTTTTTTTCCCCTGATTCATTTTGTTGCTGCTGCATTCTCTGTTGCATGTTGCATTCAAGAAAGTATGATATTTTTTGAAAATTAAAGCTAAACTTTAATTGCAGTTTCTTTTTCTTAGTTGCAAATTATGTGAATCCAGAAGTGTTTTTCAAAGGCTCTGGATTCCCTTTTTCCTTCAGGATGTCAGGGGGAGACCTCTCCGTTTTGGAGGCCAAGCTCTATGGCTGCAGCACCAAGTGTCCTGTCCTGGGTTAATGGCTTCCAGCTGTGGACAGGCAGGGGCTTTGCTTGCCAATGCCAGAGAGTGGCAAAGATATCCCAGGTTTGGGACCTGCCCCTGGCCCCAAGCAGACGTTCGGGTTTTCCATTTACTGCAGAAGAATGTGGATGTTCTCCTTTAAAGAGAAAAGGTGGCCGGGTAGAGGTGCAGCCCCTCATGCAAGTCCCGCTGGCCTACTACTCCTCACCCTGCTGGGGGTGCGGCCTTACTCCATGGTGGCAGGGCTGGTGCGGAGGTGTTGGCGGCAGCGGCATCAGTGAGTCTTGCCACCCTGCTCCACCCTCCTGTGCCATGCCAGGTCCCACCCGTTGGGCCACAAAGGCGGCTCCTGCCTGGTGGTCCGGTCAAGCTATAGCCTCATGCCCCACTGTGGACACACAAATCTGGGGAGGGGGCATGTCCCCCCATACCACCCCAACTCATCACCTATGCTGTTGCCTAAGGTTGGGCACCTCCCCTGCCCCATACAACCCCCTTCCCAATATACAGAGGGGCTGCAGCCTGGGGGAGGGGAAAGTGGATTGAAAGTGGGGGGCACCAGCAGGGCTGAGGTGCGTGGGGGGTTGCCAGGAGAGAGGGAAACTGGCAGGGATGGGGGGGCTGTGGGTCAAGAGTGTGGGGCACCAGTGGGGATGAGGGACTGTGGTTCGAGAGTGAGGGGCACTGGTGGAGATGGGGAGGTGCGGGTCAGGAGAGAGGGGCATCGGCAGGGCTGGTGGGCTGTGAGTCAGGATTGAGGACACTGGTGAGGATGTGGGGTGCCAGTCAGGAGTGAGGGGTACCAGCATGGCTAGGGGGTGGGTTATGGCTTGGTAGTGCGGGGTACTGACATGTCAGGGCTGCTCAGGAGCACAAAGCAGTGGGGGTTGAGGGAAGGGGGGAGCTGTAGCTAGACCCACATCCTGGTGAGTGAAGGGGGCAGGGGAAGCTCTGATTATCAATGACCAAAATCAAATGCCAAAATATAGAGGTATTTTGAATGTATTTTATGGTAATGACTGAGGCACTGGCTGGTTTCCAAATTGGTTTAAAACAGGGAGTGTCCCTGCAGCTGCCCCATGGGTCGTGCCCCGCAGGGTGACAGTGTGACCCCCCCAAGTACAACCCGGCACCCACCACCTGCCCCCTGCCAGGGATCTGCACTCCCAACTCCTCCTGTGCCCACCATGTTATTTCTATCCCTTCCCCGTCACACCTGCCCCTTCCTCTGCCCGCGCCCCATGGCGCAGCTCTGCCCCTGCCCTGGCGGCGTGGGCGGGGGCTGTGGGGGAGCAGCTGCAGGTCCTGGCCCCCGCCCCCCACCGCCCC